CGGTGTTGTAAAAAGGGGGGGGGGGGGTGTCATTTTAGATTCTAGAATGCATCTGTATAAAATAAATTAAAAGTCAGAAAAAAATCTTTATAAAACTTTATAAGACTGATGCTTTTAGGGTTGAACAGTTTGGGGAAAAAATAATATTTTTTATTTGTGATTATTATATAATATATAATATTAATATAAAAATATTAAGCAAAATTGAAAAAAATATTGTAACTATATTGTACTGTAAAATAACAAAATTTGTATTTAATTAAAATATGAATTGTATACTACAACTGTAAAATTACAATACTAATATTTACATCTTAATTGTGTTAAGAGTGTTTTCAGCTTGTTTATTTTCATATAAAAATACGGCATTGCGTTGCATCAAACAATGCTATAAACATCATTCAATGTCAATTGTGATAATCGTAATTAATAATGCTTAATACTATAGAAAAGCACTAAAAGTTTTTCAGTTTTCAGCTTGTTTATTTTCATATAAAAATACGGCATGCAGTTGCATAAAACAATGGTATAAACATCATTCAATGTAAATTGTGATAATCGTAATTAATAATCACAATTACAATTTCAAGGGAATAATCCACAATTATGATTTTTTTCATAATCGTGCAGCCCTACTATCAAGCTTTTATTTTGGCTGTGATAATTGTACTAAGCCATTTCACATTTTTCAGTATACAGTATTGTGCAGCCCTTCAGAGTACTGATGCAACTGTAGAAGAACACATTTTACTCTACAACAGTGATGCTAGGAATACAGTATGTATTTGTGCAACACGTTCTCACTCCCAACTCGTCACATATTGACGCTTTGCTTTTTGACGCTCAAAGTACCCCTTTAGCATCACTTTTCGACGTGCAGGGTCCTCCATTGTTTTCAGTTGTTTTTCTTAATTTAATGGTTTGCATGCATTTGTAAAAAATATAAATAATTTTATATAAATGTATACTTTCATCGGAGCACCTACCCTAAACCTACCCACTTCTGAACAATATAAAACACGTAACAGGCAAATATAAGTGCAGTCACAGGTATTTATTGCAAAAACTGACACCAAGGGTTTCTTATTTAAAGCAACAGAGGACCCTTCACGTCGAAAAATGACGCTAAAGGGGTCCTGACCAAGTGTCAGTATGTGACGAGTGTGGAGTGAGAACGTGTTGGTTTGTGTCGTGTTATAAGTTGTGTTCTAGATTAAACTGCGCTTGGACTGGAGTTCTGCCGTTCTTAATGGCAACTTAATGACAAATAGATCTGTAGATGTGGAGCTGATGTGAATTGTAGTTGTGTTTTCCATGAGGTTGCGGTTCATGGCTTGAGCTCTGGAAAGAGGGATTCTGTCCACTGTGGAGTGTAGAAATAAGAGCTTACATCTCATGGAGCATGTGGTCTCATAGGTTGGCATTACAGTCCTGTTATTTGCTGAACTCTGTAAGCGAGGTCTAAAGAATGTTCCTCTCTGGTTTTTAAACGGTAAGGAAAAGTCCTGCAAAACAGCGTGCAATTCCATGCTCAGTTTCAAGAGGAACAACCAGCAATGCAGCTTCATAGTCATTGTCAGATCAAGATTACAGAGGAACTGAGTTGTTTTCTTAGAGACTAAAATACCATGACCACACACACATAAGACTGAGCAGACATGACATGACACGGCAAACCTACAGTACAGTTTGATGGGTCCCTCTATGGAGGAGAACAGGTAGAGCAAACATAAGCAGAGAGAAAGACGCAGTTAAAGAGCAAACAAAACACAACCTCTGATTCCAAAGATCTGATTGGCCTTTTCCTACAGTGTGCAATACTGAACCCTGAATACAGATTGTTTCATAAGGAATGATAAAGATCAATTTGAGGGAGAAGTTACTTACCAAAAAACTGTGGAGTAAAACACAGCTTTTTATAATAAGCGAACGCTTGAATAAAAAAGCTGTTCAAATTTACTGTATACTCTGCACTATGTACGTAGACTACCATTTAGGGTCAGTAAGACATTTTTTTCTAAAATAAATTAGTGTTTTATTCAGCAAGGATGCATTAAATAGATCAAAAGTGAGAGAAAATGCATTTATAATGTTGTTAATTAAAACTTGTTTTTTTTTTTCTTGAAGAACAAAATATGTTTAGTTTCCTGAAAAATATTAAGCAGCATAACCGTTATCAACATTGATAATAATAAAAAAAAAATGTCAGCAAACTAGATATATTTCTGAAAGATCATGTGACACTGAAGACTGGAGTAATGATGCTGAAAATTCAGGAATAAATTGCATTTTAAAATATATTAAAATGTTATTAAAAATTTTCAGAGTTTTTTTTTACATTATTACTATTTTTACTGTATTTTTATAAAATAAATACAGCCTTGGTGAGCATTAGAGACTTAATGAATATTATGAAATAATTTCAAAGGTAGTGTAAATCTTGAGAATTTGCATAGAAGTTTCCAAACGTTTTTATGTGCACATTTCTGTAATATTCTAGAGTCTGCAGAGAGCCTCCATCTATTTCTAACACTAATTATTACTTCTTGTCCAATGGACATCCATGTTTCCTCAATTAAAATCAATACAAAATTTTACGCAAACTGTATAAAGATTAAATTAGATTAAGAAAATTACCATTTATTTTTCATCTGATGTTTTTTTTATTTTTTATCTGATATACTGTACAGTCAAAGAGATTATGACTCGCGCTTCGGTAGAACAGAAGTGATTCACTTGAGCTTGTTCAGACATTAAACCTTTTACAGGAAACCTAACAAACCGCTTGAGCTGTGAGGATTGTTATCAGCGATCAGAGAGAGGAGACAGTGTGACAGCGGCTCCAGAGACCCGCAGCCGTTCTCAACTGATGCATGAACTTTAAACACAAACTAATGCATACTTCAGGCTTCTTAAGAAGCTTGCGGCATATCTGGGTCTAAATCAGTGGGATTCTCCTCCTCTCATGTCACTGTTTTGGTATACTGTATCATAGTTTGTGCATGACTGTTATGGTTTTGTCTTTAGTGTCGAGCAGGTTTCATTACCTGCCAGTCCTGAGTTCATGATGACGGTGGGAGATCCGCAGCCTGGAAGTGGAGGAGCCATGGGGGGCGGTGGAGGGGGCATAGGGGCAGATATATCCACAGCAGAGAGAGGAGGAGGAGGAGCAGGAGGAGGAGGAGGAGCAGATGGACCGTTTGGTACTGGAAAACACAAGAGGAAGAAGGAGAAAGCAGCTTCATTAACACTTTATTTTAAGGTGTCCTTGTTACACGTTACATGTACTTACTATTATAATAACAATACATTATGCATAATTACATGCAAGTAACCCCAAGCCAAACCCAAATCCTAACCCTAACAATATAGTAAGTGCAATTAATATTTCTCAGTACTTAAATAATTACACTGTAACAAGGACACCTTAAAACAAAGTGTAACCGCAGCTTCCATTAGCCGTTTATGTATTTGATTGATTTTGAAAAATTAACTTTAAAAAAAGATTCACCTAAAAAAAAATACATTCTTGTGCGCACGTATATTACTTTCCTTTTAGAGTAATATCTAATTTCAGATTTCTCCCCTTTAAACATCACGTGCCAAACAAACAGTGGTGGGTCTCTTTATACTGTATATCGGTTACATTAGATGTTCTCTTCCTGTCTAAATGGATGTATTTTAATCAGAATAAGCGGCACTGGGATTGATTTTCAGAGGCATTTTTTAAACCTTTGTAAGGGGCAATCTTAAAAATGTACTTATTAAAATGTATCTGTGTTGCCTTGCATTTATTCAACTAATTCAATCAGTCAAATCGATCAGAATATTGTAGGCTGCTACCAATACAATTTTAACATGCAAGAGTAGTGACAGATTTAGATCAATTGTGCAGTTTTGTTTTGGATTTTGGCCAGAGGCGGACAGTAGTGAAGTATTTTTACTCTGCTTTAAACGTGCATTTTCAAGTGTTTATACTTTATCAGTATTTTTCTTTAGAAAACTTGGTCCCACTTTATATTAAGTGGCCTTAACTACTATGTACTTACATCAAAAAATAAGTACAATGTACTTATTGTGTTCATACTGTATTGCAAAACACATTTTGCTTGTGTAAGGGATGGGTCAACAGTATAAGTATAAATGTAATTACAGAAATTAATTACAGATGTAATTACATGCAGGTATTTTTAGAATACAAGTACAATGTAAAAACATGTATGTACACAATCAGTGCATTGTACCAAATTATTAATTTAAATGTAAGTACATAATAGTTAAGGCCACTTAATATAAAGTGGGACCGAAAACATTCCAAAGCATAATATTGCACTTTTTACTGCACTACATTTCATATTAAATATAATTTAATACGTAATCACATTAGAAATCTAGTTATTTTTTACTTGTACTCAAGTTAAAGTAATTCAAAGATTTACTTGAGTACAAGGATGTACTACATTTTTAAAGTTCTTAAGTATTAAAGGTAAACAACAACAACAACTTTTATTTATAAAATGTAGTAATGCAGTAAAAAGTACAACATTGAGGCTTGTTCACACCGGGATGAATATCGTGCGCGATTATCGGCGACGTTTAACGCCTCGTGACTAAACAAAGGGCGCCAGTGTGAGTGTGCACACCGACGTGCAAAACGTGAGGCGTAAAAGCATCATTTTTTAAAAAACGCCTCTGGCTCGTTTTTTTTTTTTTGGTTTGACACGCCGCGTTAAAAACTGGCTGACCAATGAGATTGGCGCTTTTGTTCACGTGCCTGGAGCTGCTGAAGTTACAGTAAAACACGACTTGGTGGCACTCAAGCACAAAACGGTCTTGCCGAGCACACATTGATGTCTAATGACAAAGAGGAAGTAAGTAGACCAAGAAGATGCATCGAGGCAAGATGAATGTAGAGCTGCTGGTCTCATTGGTGTCTGAACACAAAGGGCTTTATGACAAACGCGACAGTGACTACAAAAATCTCGATAAGAGGGAGTTGTTATGGAGAGGAATTGCAGATCAAATAAGATTCGCCATCTAATGTCAGGGAGTGAATTTGCACGTTCACTCGGCTCATCGCCAGCGAAAATCGCTTGGGTATGAACACAAAAGACGCGTCGAAAAACGGCGGCGATAAGCGCGCGCGATAATCGTCCCGGTGTGTACGAGGCTTTATGCTTTGGAATGTAGTGAAGTAAAAGTTTTCCAAAGAGAAACACTGATAAAGTACAGATACTTTTTAAATTTACTCGAGTATTTACTGTCCACCTCGGGTTTTGGCCTCAAGCAAAACATAGTGAATAAAGTAATCCAAATAGAATAAAATTAGGGCTGCACAATTAATCAAATTTCTAATCGCTATTACTTGGCCTCAAGCAAAACATAGTGAATAAAGTAATCCAAATAGAATAAAATTAGGGCTGCACAATTAATCAAATTTCTAATCGCGATTACAATTATGGATGCCACAATTACGTAATAGCTCAAAGCGGCAATTAATCGTTCAAAGTCCACTTATGTTATTCTGCACGCTTAAGATATGTTTTTTTTTCTTTCTACATATTATATTAAGGGTTTTTCCATTGTTTTAGTTTTAGTATAACATTATAATACCATTCATATTTTTACTTTTTTTATAATTTAAAGAAGAAACCAATCCGATGCATATTTGACGTTTGAGGCTTAATACTATAGAAAAGCACTAAAGGTTTTTCAGTTAGAGTGTCTTCAGCTTGTTTATTTTCATATAAAAATACGGCATGCAGTTGCATCAAACAATGGAATAAACATCATTCAATGTAAATTCTGATAATCGTAATTAATAATCGCAATTACAATTTCAAGGGAATAATCGACAATTATGATTTTTGTCATAATCGTGCAGCCCTAAGACTGTATTACAATGTCAAACTTACATCCAGTACATAAAATGAGGAGAGGTCACTCACATGTCTCTGGCATAGGAGGAGGCGGAGGTTCAGGCATGGTCAGGCCATGTGCCGCACCCTCACCGGACACCCCAGCTACGCTCTGTGACCCTGGCAGAGGCCCGCTCCCCTCAGGAGGGGACGTCAGGATGGCAATGTCCCCGTCCGCTTTCTTCTGGATCTTGATGGTTCCCTGTTTCTCCAGCTCGTGGATCTTCTTCTCCAGGTTGCTCTGTTTCTGAATGGCCTCGTCCTTCTCCTTCACCATCCGCCGCAGGGTGTGCACCTGAGAGCTGGCGTCTTTGCACACCTCCTGTCACCACAGGGAGCATGAGTTTTGAGTTCAAGCGAACCCCTGGGGGTTTGTGTGGGAACCGTAGGGGGTTTGTGAGCTGACAAACGGCTAATTAATTAAATGAACTGTAACATTTAAATATATAAACGGGGCTGCACAATTAATAGAAATAAAGCTGTTTATCACAAGCTGTGTATATAATCTGTAATAATGCATAACATGACCATAACCGACATAAGAGAGCAAGTGATTTTTTTTAAAGGTTTTCAAATCAATATGAAACAACATTTTAAAAGAAAACAAGATGAAAAAGGAAAGCGCTGCACTTCAGGAATGAAATGGAGGATTAAAAATGGGCATTGCATTAGAATAAAGTCAGACCTGAATATTAATGTGCATGCATACTAAATGTTGCACTTTATTTCATAGTATGTGTACTTACAGTGTACCTACTTATTACCCAGTTATTGTAATCACAACAAGTACATATTATGTACATGCGGACCATGACTGTAAAATAAAGTGCTATCAATGCTTCTTTTTTTCAAATGCATTAATATCTGCTATTATTGACATAACCTTTATTACATAAATTAGTTTGTTAACTGCTGGAAAGCAGCACTAATACTGATTCGCGTTAATAGTTAATAAGGCTCAGGTGACATCAGTGGAAAAGTTGTTTTAGAGACAGTTTTGATGTTTTTGACTATGAAGACAAACATTTGTTTCTTTGTTGATGAGCACTGTACGCGTTTTGGAAAGTTCAGCAAACAGTGGTACAAATGTACATTTGGAAAGGGAAGGTTCTATAGATATTGTGCAATACATTTTAAGCATTGAATAACATGCACTCGATGTAACAAACCGTACAGGCAACTCAAGAAATCATGGGGATGTGATGTAAGGATGCATTATTTACCCGGATCGACTCCAGCTCTTTATTTTTTTGCATCAGTTGTTTCTCCAGCTCAACGATTTTTGCCATCGCCTCATTCTCTGTGTCCTGCAACCTCTCTATCAGCTAGAAAACCACAAACAAGAATCAACAAGAAATAAGACTCCAGCTACAGAATGCAGATTCACAAAGACAGAGCACTTGAATCTCAAGAGTCCAGCCAGGGTTGCATAAATATTAAACTTCAGATTCACAGCAATATCACTTTAGTATTCGTGAATCCTGATTAATCCGAATTCTTGACAAAAATCAATACCACACTAATGAGGAAATTACCTCAGGTCAGGAAGTCATCCTTTGGGCAGATGGCCCAACTGTCACAAAAGGTCAAAGGTCAAGCTACATGTATGACTGGGTCCTATCATGTTGCATTATCATTAAAGGCTTTCAGCTGAACTCAGTACTGGTCATGTAAGGTCATGTTGTTGGGCAGGTGGTGCATTGTTAAACAAAAGGCCTTGAATGGTAAGCACTCCTGAATATGGCACTGAAATTAGTGTTTTTTTCTGCTTATAATGAGTGTAGCTGCAAAAACAGTACTAACATGAGACATGTTCTCCTCCAGTTCCTCCACTCTCTCCAGCGCTGCGTTCTTGGTCTCTGCGTCCTCTAACAGAACCCCGACATCGAACACATTATCCAGGTACGCCTGAATCTGCACATGCAGCTTATCACTCTCGGTGTGCTTCAGTTTCTACTCAAAAGACAGCCACAGAGAGAGAGTGATGGATCCTCTGGCAGCTCACTCCACGGTTAGAGCGACACTGAACATTAGCATCAGAAGACTAAGCACTGAAGTTTACTCACGTCCAGATATTCGTCCAGACCCAGCTTGGTGAAGTCGTACTGTAAGTGCACTCTGAAATTCATGTCTTCCACTGAATGAACCACAATGTTTATGAACTGCATGCATGCAACCTGAAAGACAATATACACCATACTAAATTTCAGCCCGATAAATCCTAAGACTTTCAATTGATATATTGATGAAGAAAACTGAGTTTTAACTATAGAAATGAAAATGCATAGCATAATAGAAATCTTAATTATTACTCTTATTTAATTATTTTTCTGTACAACTGTGGATTGGGGCTATATTAAAAAAACTGCACTGTAGAAAGCGCTGCAGATTTCTATTTCTGCAGAAATAGAACATTTCATTCATATTTTACACATGCACACAACATATTTATTCAATATATTGTCTTATTACATGCATATTTCACATATAACAAATGTCAGCAGCTTGATTCTTTATATTGTCGCAAAATGTATCTTATCAACTATAATGTGCCTATAATGTCCTAAATGCAACTATAACTCATGAGGATATTCATAAGATATCATGAACATTAACATCATGATTTTCTGTAAAGCTGCTTTGAAACAATGTGTATTATTAAAAGCACTATACAAATAATATTCAATTATCAATATTATAATCAATCAATATTTGTGTATATTGATTGCTAAACTTAACGTGCCGTTGTTTCTATATAGCTGTGTTTTAAACTAAAATTGATACATCATGTGCATCTCTTTGGTAAGTAGCTGTGTAATATGCTTGAAAATGTCCAGGCGAGCATTTTTACATGAACATTATCCTTGCAAGCTGCATTGTGCTTTTAGCCATCTTTATTTAATATTTTAGCCTATTTGACAATGCTGTCATATATGATATTATGTTCTTGTATCGCTGCTTAATGATGCTCTTAAGTAGGATATGAGTCTCTCCTGCAATAAGCTATTTGTTTGAATAATTATATCTCACAGCCGAAAGTGTCAATCAGTGGTACAGTGTGTTATGCATTTTAGAGTATTAATAATCATGACTGCTAATGGAAATGTGTATATTTGGATGCTGGTCTAACCCATACCATGAAGTCGATGTTATTATCTTCATTCTTGAAATGCTCCATGAGTTTCTCAAACCGCTGATCTTCTGAACACACCTGCAAAGCAAGAAAGAAATAGCTCATGCATTGAGAGAGAGAACATTAAAATAATGCCCAGAGAAAATGAAAATGAGATTTTGATGACTCTCTTTTAGCCTCTAATAAAATCTTTTGATATTTCAAAAACACCTTGATGCAGTACAGTAGTTCGTTTTTGGTTCTCAAATCATCCCCTTAGGAAATCATACTAGCTTGATCTCTCCTCCACAGACCAGAGAGATACGAATACATTCAGAAGCTGTTGTGATCCTGTGTTGTGATGTGTTTAGCAGGTGTGTGTCTAAACCTATTTACTGTACAGCCTAAAACTTCACACGCTGCCCTCAGTCATATGTATAGTTATCCGTTATCATGGATCATATCTATTAAGCTATCACTGAGTGGCTTCTGGAACACAGACTACAGCTTTTAAACTGAAAACAGTGCCTCTGTAATTGAATCATTTGTGTGTTTGTGTGTGTGTGTGTGTGTGTCTGTGTATGCACCTCTTTAAAATGATCAAAGGCGGAGAGGATGATCTCGTGACCTCCTCGAACCAGACACACAGCAGCCAGCAGCTCCAGCACCAGAGCTTTAGTCCTGCACCAGCAGAGAGCAATATTTATCATGATTACACAAGCTATTACTGCACATTTTGGCAAAAAAATAAATAAAAATCTCTTCTGCATCTTTTAGAAGATACAGAAGATTTACACGACAGTTCAAAGGTTTGGGGTCAGAAATTCATAACTGTTTTCACCATTGATAATAATAATAAATGTTTCTTGAGCAGCAAATCAGCATATTAGAGTGATTTCTGAAGAATCATGTGCCACTGAAGACTGGAGTAATGATGCTGAAAATTCAGCTTTGATCATGAGATTAAATTACATTTTAAAATATATTAAAAGAGAAAACAGTTAATTTAAATTGTAATATTTTTTCACAATATTGATGTTTTTACTGTATATTTGATCAAATATATCCAGCTTTAGTGAGCATACGAGACTTGTTTCAAACACATAAAAAAAAAAAAAAAGATTGACCCCAAAAAACAAAACAAATATTTAACATTTTCTCCAATTTCTGTCATTTACACAGATGGCGTAAAGAACCCCTCCAACCACACACTGAGATTAAGGGGTCTGCTGTTGTAGCTGCCAGTATTTATGACTCTGAAAGAGGAGGAATTAAAGCGTTGGATTCTGGGAAAGTAGCCTCTCTTTCAGAGATACACACACACACACATTTACTCCAGCTCAATGGGTTACCTGGGATTCTTATTGTTCAGACTTAGTGCAATTTCATTCACAGCATGAGGGTGAGACATGACCATGTTGAAGCCATACTGAGAGAAAGACAGAGAGAGGACTAATTAGTAAACATGGCAGGATCTTCAAGATTTATTATCTGAACATTAAACATGATAAAGACCAAACAGCTTTACATGAATCAGTGTGTGTGTGTGTGTGTGTGTGTACGGGTTTTCTGTATAAGTGAGGCCCAGAATGTCTTCACTAATGAACTGAAACCTGTTGAACAGCTGGACCTCACTGTTTGTGATCTTTTTTCTTTAATTATAATGATGTCTACAGGTTTTTGTGAGTGTTAGAAGTTGGATATAGCTTAGTATGAAAACCAGTCTCACCAGGACTTGACAACTTTTTGAGTGATTTTTTGCTATCAAAATTACTGATTTTGCAGCAGTCATTTCCAGAGATAAGGGGGAAATTTACGTTTGACACTGGATGTACAAATCATACGACAGACAAAAAAAAATTGTATTTAATACTACATGAATTTCAGTATTACAGTAATTAATACAGTAATTCAAAACTTGTACATCAAATCAAAAATTGCACAATCTTTGCATTTAATAACTTGTTTTAACACCAAGCACATCCCACAATTTATTTTAATTCATGCATGTTTATCACACTAACTTACTTATAATAACTTTAAGTAGTACGTTGCTTTTTGTGATTATTTAGCAGTTATCACGAAAAAGTGGCATTTTGTTGATTTTGTATTGTGTTCTATGATCTGGAGAGACTGGAAAGCCCTATGAGAGGTCTTTACTAATATAAATTCAAAGGTTTGATGTGTGTGTTTTACCTGGTAGTTCATGATGGCTCGTAGGCACATGATGCACACATGAACGTCGTCTTTCTTACATACTAATCTGGAATTCTTCAGTGTCCTCCGGCTGGGTAACGTGTTAGACCTGAGAGAGTTCATTAACCAATGAAATCAGTAGTTCATCCAACATATGGAAATACTGTCATCATTTAGTCACCCTTGTGCTCCAAACCCATTTGACTCTAGTTCTGTGGAACACAGGAGATGTTTTGCAGATGTTCACATTCACTTTCATTGCACAGAAAAGAAGCAGTTAGGACATTCCGCAAAATATCTCCTTTTGTTTTCTACAGAAGAAATAAAGTTGTGGAACAATATAAGGATGATGTTATAGCTATAACATACCCTATCAATCAAAAGTTTGGGGTAAGTAAGACTTTTTTAATGTTTTTGAAAATTATCGAAATGTCCACCAAGACTGCATTAATCTGATCAAAAATACAATAAAAACAGTAACTCTGTCAAATTCACACACACAATCACATTTTAAAATAATTGTTCCATTTTAATTTTTTTTTTCTTAATGTAGTTTAATCCTGTGATGGCAAAGATGAATATTCAGCAGCCATTAGTCCAGTCTACAGTGTCATTATTATCGTGGTTTCAAAAGTTGTACTGCTTCAACGTTTTGTGGAAAACATTTTTCAGGATTCTCTGACAAACTGAAAGTTCAAAAGAACAACATTTATATGAAATCGTACCTTTATAAATGTCTTTGCTGTCAATTTAATGCATTCTTGCTGAATACAAATATTAATTTCTTTCAAAAAAATCTTACTGACCCCAAACTTTTGAAAGGTAGTTATTTCTTTTAAAAGGTAAACTATTATTTAAAACAAAGAACTACTTCTCAAGATGTTTAAAATGATTACAAGCATGACAAATATGCATCATCTTCTTGTAAAGTCAAGTCAAGTCACCTTTATTTGTATAGCGCTTTTAACAATACAGATTGTGTCAAAGCAACTTTACAGTATTAAATAGGAAAATAGTGTGTCAATAATGAAAACAACACAAATCTAGAGTCATATCCTGATGTAGACTCACAAGACTAAATCAAGGCAGAGAGGGATCAGGACCACAGGAAGTATTCTCATATTGAAACCGTGTCTTTAAATGCTACAAGTGCTGTGTTTAGGTCTGTCAGCAGCTTTTCCTGTGAGTGATGTGTGAGGATTTGCATTGTCTTACAGCAGTTAAAGCGCTCTGTGCACACATATCACCTCCACAACACAACAGCAGCGTCATTGACATGCATGCCAGCTATCGGGCCCAAGCCAAAGGCTTTTATGTGTGAGAACAGAGACGTACAGCAACAGATGCGCACAAAGAACACACACAAACAGGTATAACATAGATGCACATTTTACTAACTCTCACCAATCGACAAAGACATACAAACATACTCACACACAAGACAAAATTATGCATACGACAAACAGAGAGATAAACAGGCTCACAAACAGACTAGAGAAGGTTTACACACACACACACACACACACACACACACACACACACACACACACACACACACACACACACACACACACACACACACACACACACACACACACACACACACACACACACACACACACACACACACACACACACACACACACACACATAATGCAATATGTCAGCAGCAGTGCCTGAGGGAACGGTTTGTACTCAATGCTGAACTCATTCAGAAACGCACACAGAACATTAACACACTCAGGTCTGCACTAAAGGTGTGTGATATGTATCATCTATTGTGATTGATGTTTTAACCATGTGGAAGCATGAAGTCATGCGATTTTGCAAAAAAACAAACAAGAGCACATCCACTTTCACTGTGTGATGTAGCCTGACAGACTACAGTTCATATAACCTAGTTCACATATTGTATAATGTATGACACAGTTAAGCAATGCCGTAAACGCAAGCAAGTATGCGGTTTTCCCGAATATCAGCATGATTGCAAATTTGATATTTATTTTGTTCAATAGTTCAATAAAAAGGAAATAAATATTGTGAGTTTTTGCTCTATTTCGCCAAAGAAATCATTCCAAACAAAGCCGCAACAGAGCTGTTGTGCGTCAACAAACAGTGGTGTGTCATTACTGAATGAATTAGCATTTTTGAACGAATCAATGATTCAATGATCAATTCATAAAAAAAGTAAATTGCTTCGTTCCTAAATCAATCAGCCATTTGAATCAATCAGCTGAATTAATAACTCAGTGACTCACTCATTAATGCAGTGAACTGCCACCTACTGGTGGTTTTAGTTTCATATTTAAAATATAATTTCATTAAAACATCATATTTCAAAATTCAAATATTCTTTTAAAATTGTATCATTATTTATGCAATTGTAATTGCAGTGTAAATACATCTAAACACTGCTTTTGCAGTACAAAATGGATACTGATTTTATTTGATTGGTAACAGTTGTGTCTTATTCCAATTGAATTTATTGATTAAATATAAGAATCTGACATAAAATAAGATGCAAAAATCGAATAAAGTTATGTGGAGAATATGAAATGTTTCGGGAGTCACATGTCCATGACAGGCTTAAACCAGCTAATATACCAGTACAGAAACACATTCAGTGAAATACCTAATCATCGTTCTCAACAAAATCCCAGAAAATATCCTGATATAATTTTTTGTCAACATCACACACCCCTAGCCTGCACTGATTGCTAGAATGTCACAGCTGCATTATTGCTGTGATGTGGTTTGTCTTTCAACTCTGACATGAGTGGGAATGATAAATGTGTGAATGTCTTTACAAAGTTATTGTCTGCTAACATTTCAGCTGTAACTCCACCTTCTAATCTCTTTTGTCCAGAACATCACAATGGCCTAGAAGCTTTGTTAAATAATTTATAATTATTATCTGAACAAATGTTATTTGAGCTTTTAAGCCCCTAAATGTGTTATTTGGGGCTTAAAGGACAATTAATATTCATTGAACTGTATCGATTTAACTGTACTTAACTATCAAATAAGATTGCTGAATAATTTAATTAAATTGAGCTCAATAATGCCACTATTGTCTTCTGTAGAGCTACTCTACAGTTAAAAATGATTTTTTAAATTTGATTTTGATTATTAATGTAAAGCTGCTTTGAAGCAATCTGTATTGTATAAAGTGCTATATAAATAAAATGACAGGACTTGACTGTACTGTAAGTGTCCAAATTGTCTTTTTAGTGGTATAGGCGGATGCATCTCTGATTATGTGCTACAGATGTAATTCCTACAGGTGGAGTTTGCTCTGTGTAAACAGTATTCTGTAGATATTGACATCATATCCCTATTCTGATGGAGTTGAAAGATTGGATATAAATTTACAAAGACAAGTTTAGTGAGTGCCTTTATCACACTCGCCACATGCTGTGTACTGAGTAATCTTGTGGCTATACTTCCAATGAGTGTGTATTTAAAGCATATCCTGTTGCAGTATTTTGCCACAAAGACTTCCTCTGGAAGTGCATCACTACAAATGAGTGCTCCTTTATTATTATAAATTGAGGGCTGAGCCCTGGGGTGGGCGATATGACCAAAACCTTATATTATGATATGAGTAATCTTATTTCACGGCTCACTCTATATATATATATATATATATATATATATATATATATATATATATATCACAATATAGTTATTTTTGGTTTAAATAGGGTCTTTATGATATATAATTTTTTGACACCATAGAAATGTCATAATTTTTTGTCACCAGTGTCAATAATATCACAAAAAATGAATGAATGAATGAATGAATGAATGAATGAATGAATGAAAACTCAGGCTCACTGAAGACAAGCATACAGTCAGCTATCAAATAAGCATAATAAACGAATTACAAGCAATAGGATAAAAATAGAACAAATAAATAAGAAATGCTACATACATTGTATTAAGTAATCAAATGTATAAAACCCTGCACATACTACTCTGTGTAAATTAAATATATATTTCTTCCTATTAAAGTCACAAAAGTGATTTAGTCTAGAGCACTGAGGGATTTTTTCTTTTTTGTTGTTTGATTAACATGAATGGCAGAGAGCAGGAATTTTAGACTGCTGTCACTTTAAGAACTGATCAGGTCCAATATACTGTTACACATGTGGGCAACACTTTAGTATAGGGACCGATTCTCATTATTAACTAGTTGCTTATTAGCATGCCTATTATTAACATATTGGCTGTTTATTAGTACTTATAAAGCACATATTCTGCATGAAAATATTCTACATTTATATTCCAACCCAATACATGAGCTTAACAACTACCTTACTAACTATTAAAGCATCAAATTAGGAGTTTATTTAGGCAAAAGTCCTAGTTAATGGTTTGTTAATATGACCTTAAAATAAAGTGTGACCCAGATGTGTTTTCTTTCTCAGCTGTTCGCTTTCATTTAAGACCTAAATGACTGTGTTTACAAGGGTACTTGCAAAGGCGGGCATATTTTGACACATACAAGGGTGTGTATTTAACTGTTCAAGGCCTATAAAGCAGCAAAAATAACTCAATGCTCAGTTCTCTATGAGCATCGTCTTCATGTGCGCACGGCTCTCTAACAGCACAAAATAGCGAAATGAATTCTCTTTTGCTGCCTATTGCATTTCAATGGCTTAAAATCACTTATTTTTAAACCGCAATGCTTAAAAATGCGTGCAAACTATACGTTTTCATGACCATGTAGTACAGCAACGTCACATGAGCGTGTAACCGCGATAGAGACGATCCCTATCGCCCACCCCTAGCTGAGCCTACATTTTCTGTGGTAACTGACTTTGTCACAGATATTTTTGATAAAACCTTAACTTGGGTAACACTATACCTATAATGCATTACCCTTATTCTGCATAAATATTTCTATATAAATATCTTAATAATCACAACAAACATAATACCTACCTCCCCGGTGGTTATAATTTTAACAGTATAATGGTTTATATAACACATGATTAACACCATCTATATCCATGTATACAGTAAATCCATCTAAATTATAATGGATTTTTCCCATAGTTATAATGTATTATAAGTCTTGAGATCTGTTTAAGATCTAAACAATATCCTACTACATCTTACAAGTGGTCAAAGCCTTCTTGTAAACATACAGTACAAAAGGCTTTATAATCTGTTTATTATATTTATAAGTGGTCTTTGTCTGTTTTAAGTATTTTTTAACAGCCATATGTTATCATGAATGTGTTACATATGACATTGCTTTGAGCATGTTTTATTTTAAAATCAACAAATAATGCATTGTTTGAAATGTTAATGAGCTACTAGTGAGCTTAAACTAGCTCACACTGAAATTAACTTTAGCCTCACTGGAAACACTCAAATATGAACAACCACTCAACAACTCATAAGACGTAAACGATACTGCACAGATCTTAAATAAACAATATAAAGATAACTTATAAGTCTGGGAAGTATAATCCATTATAACGCATGTTGCAATGTATTATAACTGTGATGGTACAACATGTTATAAAATATTTTTTAATATAATGCATGCATTGTAATGCCTTTTGAAAGCCCTTGTAATGAATTATAAATACGTGCTTCATATAAGTGTTACCATGAAGTTATATTATAAACAGTAGGTATCAATAGTCAACTCAATAACACAATTCTCAAACACTATACTATTTTATTTTATGTCTACAGAATTCTATAAAAATCTACAAAACGTTGAGCTAATCCTAAACACCAAATGCAGCAGATATACCCTCGTTTCTCTGAGCACTTTGGGCATTGTGGATGAGTCTGTGTTCTTCAGGAGGGCATTGGGAAATTTGAGAATTACTCTTTTAAAAATCTGAATACAGCACACAATTTAAGCCTACAAATTACTAAGAGCTGAGGGAAAGCATGGAAACAAAACTACTGCATGTGGCCAGAACCTCTGATCTATGCAATCACACCATTGGATGTAAAGTTTATGGTGACAAATGATGAAGTGAATTCATAAATCCACTGCACAGCAGCATGATCCGATAGAGAAGTAAAATGAGTGATTATGCCTGACAGACTACATGAGGGTAAGTTACATCTGAGGCTGCAGGCACACAGCTAGCTACTGAACTCACTCTAGTTCAGCACATTAGAGAGACATGGTGTCACAAAGCAAGGCCAGACACAACAGGTAAGTGCTGATGAATCCCTGACACATGGAGGGGAGAGGAGACTCTATCTAAAGGACAAAAAGAACATGCCTTGTGCTGCAGATGGGAACACACAACAGGAAACTGCAGACAGAGTGACAACTGCATTAATTACACAGAAATACCTGTGACAGATTTCTAGCAAAACGGTCAGACCAAAGTGTGTTTTATTCATTTAAAGGTACACAAAATTAATAAAGTTGTACACCCAAAAAAATGTATAAGCACATATAAATAGAATGTTTTAGTTTTCATGAATGCCCGTTCACATCAAGAAATGATTCCAGTGATTCCAACAATATCATTATTCTATGTAGTTATTGAAATCAGGGTTATTAACTCTGAGCAAAAAGGTGAGAAAATCCCATTTTTATCAAAAACTACATCTGGGTAATATTCGCTTCTATCAACACCTCCAAAGCTTGCACAGACATATACCACTTCCTGGATCAACATTTTACTCCGTAACATTATGCAGTTTTCATTTATATGCTGCCATTGCTGATGATCGCATTATTTTTCATATGCATCTGTTTACATAAGAGATCGCTCGTTTCTCCGTCCTGTACACGTGTTTTTGTTCGGGAGGTTTTGCACTTGTTCAGAAGATGTGTAATAGCGCCCTCGAGTGTATAACAGTGAAAACACGAAAAGCCGTAAAAACTCGTCTTTGGCGGGGAAGCGTTGTCTTCTAAAAGACGAGATAACTCGTCAATGGCGGGGGAAGAGGTAAAGTTAACAAAAACGAAAACCACAAAAAAAGTTACTTTTTAACTGTTATCAAGGTATATAGTCTAACACTAAACTAAAACTAAAACTAAAATCATAAAAAATTGTTACTTGAAATAAATAAATTAATTTTATTTTAGCAGGTTTCCAATGAAACATTTCCATTTAGTTTCACTTAATGAAATAACTAAAACTAAAATAAAAATTTATAAAAAAATCTATATAGACTTTTAACAAAAAAAATATAAATAATATCACTATAATAATATCTCAGTGATAAATGACCACTGATTTTGGGGTGTGAACCATAGTCTCATAGAATTAGAATTAATGATTATTAAAAGTAGTTATCGTCTATGTGAACAGGCCTTAAGAGTGTCACCTACTCATAAATGTAGAATGGATGACCTTCATTATGAATACTATTTTCAGTATTAACTCTAAGACCATTGAACTGTTTGGCCATTAAAATAAACAAATAAAAAATACTGAGTCTACATTCATTTCTTTATAAAACTTGCTTATTCAGGTTGAGACTTTGGAGTCAGATCACACTGCAGGGGCTTTGTTTTGTCTTACACACTGTTGAAGATGCATGTCTCCAATATTAGCTGAATAGATATGAGCCCAGAAGAAACAACTGAGCAGAATTCCAAAATTAGAATCTGGAATTTTCTAACTGCTGCATAAGGGTTAGACCTTAATCCAATTCAAGTGACAGGGGGCTTAACATATTGAACCCATTCAAACAGATCCCCTCAGGCTCCGTGTAAATACTTCTGTCCCGTCATCAGGCTGCTCGATAACAGACAGGCAAGGTCCTGTATTAGTCCTCATATTGTGGTGATGTGTCAGTTGTCCATTCTTCATCAGAATATAACCGTCTAAGCCAGTTTTGTGAGTCAGCGGCCAGACGGACAGACAGACACACGTCGACTGTGTTCTGACATGCTGCACTGTTTCCTAAGCCATTTAAAGTCATACAGGCCTCATGACTATACAAAAGAGCCTTTCAGAAAGCACATGGAGTCCGTACATACTCTCTGCAGTCGGACAAACCATATCGCGTTCAGATTAGAACTATAAGATACTATCAGCGTCTTGTTTGCTATGAATCTGCTGTAATAACAAAAGATCTGTTTGTGCGTTCACACCTTATGGTTGAATGTCTGCTGGCTCTGGAGATGCTGTTGCCTGTGACAGCTGATGAGAGGTTGTTTCCTCCATGGAGATCTTCAATCGATCGATTCCAGGGTTTAGATTTATCCACAGAGATTTCTGTGCTGTTCTCAGAGCTGTCTCCGTCATACCTGTCAAACGCACAGCAGCAGGGGCTAAGGACTTACCAAAATAAGAATATTATATTGTTTGTTTTTTGCACATCCTCCTAAAACATACTTTATCTGTGGTCATGGGACATTTGCTTACATGCACTGCAAAAATTATAATCCTAACCCTAATTCATTTAAGAAACACGTATTAATACTTTCATAAAATAAAATAACACTTTAAAAATCATGGTAAAACAATAATATTAAAAATCCTTTTTTTAAATGACTGTTATGACTGAAGTTTTTGTAAAACACAAACTTTTTTCACATTTATGTTTTGTTTACATATGTGTATAGCATGAACACATTTTTGAAAATGTGAGTAGTTGATGTTTTAATCAATCAATCAATCAATCAATCAATCAATCAATCAATCAATGCCTACTGAACTGGCTAGTTACACTACTGTTTAAAAGTTTTAAAATAAATAATTCAATCAGTGAAGACTTACATTGTTACAAAAAAATAATTTTTTTCTAAATAAATGCTGTTATTTTTGATTTTTCATCAAATAATCTTGAAATAATATATCATGGTTTCCACAGAAATACAACTGCTGATAATAATCAGAAATGTTTCTTGCGCAGCAAATCAGAATATTAGAACGATTTCTGAAAGATCATGTGACACGACTGGAGTAACGATGCTGAAAACTAAGCTTAAAAATATTAAAAAAGAAAAGAGTCCTTTTAAATGGCAAACAAAAAGTTCATAACATTACTTCTTTAAGTGTACATTTAATAAACTAATGAGTTAAGAGACTTTTTTCAAACACACTAACAAATCTTATAGTGTGTATACAGGTGCATCTCAATAAATTAGAATGTCGTGGAAAAGTTCATTTATTTCAGTAATTCAACTCAAATTGTGAAACGCGTGTATTAAATAAATTCAATGCACACAGACTGAAGTAGTTTAAGTCTTTGGTTCTTTTAATTGTGATGATTTTGGCTCACATTTAACAAAAACCCACCAA